TAATCAACTCTCTCTAAATACATCCTTTTTAAATACATAAATTATATATTTTTTCTCTAAATATATGTTTTCATTCAGTTCTAAGCATATAGAAATCATATTGAAATTTCTTTTTAAATCATACCTTCTATAAATGCATATTTTTTAAATTTTTTATTATGATTTTAAGGTGATGTATTAAAAGAGAATTAACTTTATTTTAAATTTTATTGTTATATAATAAGTTTTATTATATATTATAAAAAATTATTATTATCAAAAATTTTATTATGATTAATATATACAATTTATATAAATGCTTACATTTATAGTTTTATTAAAATTAATAATCAAATTATTTTAATAATCCTATTTAATTAATCTTTTTCTGATATTATAAAGAGATTAAAATAATATATATTTGTAAATTCTAAAAGATATTAATTTATAAATAATCATAGATTATCTTAAAATCTAAAATTTAAATGTTATTATAAATGATATTTAATCCAAAATTAACAAATAACCAAATAAAAAAAATTTAAGTAGTATTTTCTATTGCTTACATTTTACATATTTTTTTTTTTTTTTACAATTTAATTGGTCGGTGACAAAATCGAAATTTTTTGTGTAATCTGGTTCCATAAGTATGTCACGAAGAAAAAAATGTTCACGTTCACGTGAGAAGAATATTTTTCTGAAATTAAATTTGTACTATATAACATTTTATGAATACTTTGACAATGGAAAGAGATAAAAATTCCTGCCATATTCGGCAAAGTTTATAATATTTTATAATATTAATTCCTAAATTATTTTCATTTTAATTAAATTTTGGTAACATACATGCATAATCAATCGTTCTTTAACGCCCTTCCATGCATTCTTTTTGGAATCCTCAATTAAATTTTTTGGAGCTTAAGTGAGTCATGATGCATCCGATAACGATATCAGCATCAAGATTTGATTGAACTTGGCGTTTAGAAACTACAGTTAACAGGATATGGACATTTTTATTCATTATATTGCCCCCAAGTTTTCCTAAATGAAAACAAAAATGATTTAAAAGGCTAGAAAGAATCTTTCAAAGAATCGATATATTAAAAGTCCGAATTTCTCAAGCAAAATTCGAATACTATTTCTGACACTTTTTTTTTTTCTAAAATGAAAAAGAACATGTTATTTCATAATGTTAAATTACTTGGAATTCTATCCCTCCTTGTACAACTAACACTCGCTCAAGAAGATGATAGTTTTAGAGTAACAGATTCATTCGACACTCTTATTACTGCACTCCTTTCGATGTTGATATATTTAAATTTGAAAAAAAAAAATCGTTTAAAGGGTATTAGTAATCTTGGTTTGTTATGTCAGTTTATTATCATTGGTTTAGGAATTTGGTTTATGATTAACATGTACAAAAAAACAAACGATTTCTTCTTTATGCAGTATTTGATAACATACATCACAATTATAACTGCATCTTTTTTGATTGATTTATTAATACTGATACCAAAACTTCTTCCTGTTATCCCTGTGACATACTTATACATAATATCATGTTTCCTTCCTTTAGTCGAAGTGATTATTCACACAATTTTCTTCGTCATCGCTTTTCGTAGATTTAACAATATCAGTAATGACGTATTTTTTATCATATTCCCTTATATTATTTCAAACGGTTACGCGATATATAAGTCAGTTAAAAACCTTCATATTATACGTCGTAACAATGAGGTTACCGATATTAGTATTAGTTTTCAAGATATTAATAACCGCCTTGCAACATTTAATGAAGATTATGATTTGAAATTTATAACTTTTATATATTATACATACAGCGGACTTATTCTGGCGACATTATGTGCTTCATCTAGTTTATGGTTAAAAAGTTACATGACTATGGTCGTTTTTTCTCGAGCCATTGCAGATAAAAAATCAGAGATCGTCAATACGTCTAATCAAAGGGAAGTAGTTTAATTTTGAAAGAGACTTTTAAAATACAAAGTGAGCACTGGAAGAAAAAAGCTAATTCTATCTTATAACATTGTTGTGAGAATATACTAAGGAGAGAGTGTTTCTCCTTTACTTTGAGTTATATACAGTATTATTATCCTCTTTTATTGCAAATACAAAAGTTAAATTACGGTTACAACATGGACATCAATTAGTAGAATATAAGTCACAATTCACTGTTTTTTTCACCAAGTGATGTTAATAATTCAATGGTAGAATTATTATTCTTTCGAAATTTTTTTTTTTTAGTTTATATTTAAGAATATATATTTATCTATTGTTCGCGTGATATAAGTACATTATAAATCGCGAATACTTTTGTACAAACTCATAAATAAAAAAGTACTAAATATGGAATTAGAAAAAAAAAACTTTCTGGAGGTGCGCTAGTTATCAACAATGAAACTATTATCCACCAATGCCAGTTCCAACGCTACAAGCACCAGCGCCAATGCCAACGCTTGTTGTGTATTGCTAAAACAAACGAAGCATTACACAAATATGGAAAAAGGTTTTCGCATATCGCGTGACCATATTTACATCTCTATTTATCCCAATTGTAAAATGATTGATGCTTATAAAGAAACAAGGTAAGGTAATATATAAAGATAACGTTTTAAAATGAAGAATATTGACATAATGTTTATAAACCTTGGGAAAATTTTATTTTTATCAGCAAAACACCTACCTATCTTTGTTCTAACTTCCAGCAAAAAAAAAAAAAAAATCCTGGAACCCTTTCGGTGATTGTTAATTAAATTATCTGCATTTATAAAGATTTCATTTATTTATAAACAATGAGAAATTAAAACCTTCGGATCTAAATAATTGTTGTCACTGGTACTTCGGCAAACTGGGAGTATGAAATTATGCTTTTACATCAAAAAATCTTTTAATATTTCCTAAATCTGTCGTAATCCTAACGAGAGTAGTAACACATTGTCATGATGTAAATGAAAATGATATAAAAAAAATTCTGCACATTCCAGAAAAACTCGGAATATAGTTAATGTTATTCTTTTCAAGTTATATAGAAAATTAAGTCTTTAAGACAACTTTTATTACCACTGCTATTAACTCGCAATTTAATTTAGTTATTTAGTTCAAACCATGATTCTAAGCCACTTTTTTTTAAAACGTAAGAGTATGTGTCCGATCACTTACAGATGCCGATTTTTCCGTAAACAAGCTCATCAATAAAATACTAAATTTTTAATGCGGTTCACAATTATTTGTCAAATGATTTGAAGTTCGGCGATTTTACCATTTTTAACAAAATCATGCACATTGCATATTTGCATCATTTATTCGTCACAGAAATAATCGAAAAAACAATTTTATTTTGTCCTCTTTTGGCTGCAAATTTTAATTTAATGCAAACAGTAAATCTAAAGAGACTTCATTTAAAAAAAGAACTTTCCTTTTTAAGCAACTAAGTGAAAACCCAATATAAAAAAAATTTTAACTTTTTTTGTGTGACATTGAATGAATGCATTATGGCTAAGTTTGAGTTGTCTAGAGTAGACGTTGTATATTGGCAATCGTTGTTAAGTTTGAGAAAGATTGCATCATCAATTAATAGTTTTTTGTTCACGTTTCAGATTTGCTTCCACGGCCCAGCCAATTCTCTGGGCATATGTAATTATGATCTTTTTCTTTGTTTGCCCGATGATAAAAAAATAATATCACGTCATAACAACCTAATTCTACGTGTCATACTTTTTATAATGCTTATTAACACGTCCCTTTTTATTCCCAAAAATTAATTAAATGTGGCTTTGGTGGTTTCATAACAAAATACGCGAATTATATTAGAATATACACGCCAAGACAAGATTAAATAATTTGACGAAAGAATTAAGTCAATAACAAACTTTTAAGAGTTAATTAAATTATTTAAGAACTTCAATTTTTTATGTTCCTCTTTTTTTTTAAAAAAATTTTTTCTTACAATATGACTTTATTAACACTTGATAATGTTATTTACTTACTCGAAATATGCGAACCAATAAAAAAAATAAAAAAAATCCACCCAATTTACAAGTTCAAAATGATGAAAATCATTTATATATTGGGTAATAAAAAGTTTCATCTATAAAAATTTAAAATTCTTTAATTATGTTTCCTTCACACGCTCGAAACACAACTCTTAACATAAACTTTATTCACCGATTTTGACATTTAATTTTTTTCGTTCATTTGCATTTGAGATTTATATATACTTTTTATTCTTTATTTAACAATTAATGAAAGTTTATAGATTTTAGGCAACTCATTGTAATTCATTTCTTTTCGCAATGATTAATCTTTTACATTATGATTAAGAATTCACACACACATTACATTTACAAATCTACTTTTTTATTTTCGTAATTTATGTTTTTGATCTTTTTTTTTAATTTAAGATTAGTTAAATTTTTATGTTTATTCCTTTAGTTTTTTACATAATATCTCAAATTAAGATTCATTTTTATGACAATTAAGCTATTCAATATTATACAATAAAGAATTATCGTTATAATTTTCACATTCTATAACTACGTGAGAACAGCACGCTCCAATAAATCTGACTCATTGTCCTTGAGAAATCGAAAGATATACTGCTTCATCAATCGACTGTATACCCTTTAACAGGAGTCAACATCCCGCCCATTTGCGAAACGATCCTCCAACATCGTATTCGGAAATATCTTTCAACTTCACCCACTCGTAATTAATGATTAAGTTCATTTAAAAAAACTCGAGATCTTTGTCCTTCATTCTGTTCAGTGATGATCTCGGAATTTCAAATTCATATTAAATTCGCTGTTCGTCCTGTTCTATTCCACATAAATGCGGAATTGCAGCACATGCACATTGTAGAATGAGTGTCATACGTCCGGTATTGTCGACTTATTGAATTGATTTTGATAGTGATATAGTAACTCTGTTGACTTCATTCAAGAAAACCATAATTCCTATGAAGCAAAAATTAAACAAACATGATCATAAATAAATAAGAAAAGTCATGTCAAAGATACTCCCTGGCCTACTAATAAATTCTTATATTCTGATCCAAATCGTTTTCGTTTTCCAAAACCAATTGGAATTTTAAGTGATGATCTTCAAATAAAAAATGCACATCCAGGAAAAAATATTGAGGAAATAGTTGTAGCATAACGCAATTGTACTTGTTAATGCCATTTGCCATACCTAATGAAAAATGTAAGCCCGCGCTATGAGCAAAGAAAAACACAGCGCATAATTATTATTGTTGATCGAAGATTACGGTTTCAGACGGGAACGGAGGTTGCTCAATCATATTTTGAAGGTCCTTCGAACCAGGATTACGACGGTTATCACTTGTTCCTGTAAGTATTTTTAACATAAAGGTATCTTTGTCTTTCCGTAACCTAATGTTCAGCTACGAGTTTCATATTTCTTTAATTCATATTTAGTTGAGTTGAACTCCGACCAATATTTGGTGAGCAATGAATAGGTAGAATGATGTTAGGAAGGCCTAATTGATGCATAAGGTTGTTTGTTGGGATGCTCGAAAACAAGAAGTTGAAGGATTTCTTGGACGCAAAACATTATTATTATTATCAAAGTATGACGGGGATGAAACAACTTGCGTTGACTAATATTATTAAGTCTCACTACTGGTAGTAAGAGTAACATCAATGTCCGATTAGAACTGGGAAAGAAAGAGAAAAACAAGAATTAGCAAATTTACGTATTTAGAAATAAGTTAATACTTCGTTTAAAACTTACCAGACCTTAATAAATTTTTTTTTTTTAAAAAAAAGGGGGGGGGGGGAATCCGAAATCACAAATCAAGCAAATAAAAAAAAAAAAAATGAAACACATACTTTTGTCCAGGTGATCATGTCAAATCAGGTGACATGTCGTGATTCAGGTATCACCAACACTTTTTTGGGCATCCTTAACCTACACCGGAGGTGTAGATGTTTAACTTTGCGCTGGGGTGTACAATAAGTTTTAACGAATTTTATTGGATGAAAATTGATTGTGTAATATTATATAATTTGTAAATAAAATTAATATTGTACAACAAACAATAAACTCTCGCTTGCATTTTCATATGAAATCCGAAGAGATATGTGTTCCCGAACTAACAGCTTCAAATACTTTTATAAATCATGATGATTTTATAGCACAAGTTCAAAATTTTGCAAATTTTTATAATTTTCAAATACGAAAAGATAAAGTAGAACGTGATAAAAATA